GACCTTGGAAGCTCGGGGGCGCCTGTTCGACCAGGTGCGAGGCAGCTCAAGCGAGGATGTGCATCCAGACTCCACCCCCCAACCCCCTACGAAAAAATAACAAGACAAAAAGGACAAGGCACCACACCAAAATCCTGCAGAACCTGGGACAAAGCAGACTTTTAAAAAACACAAGGAAAAAACTTAAAAAAAAAAAATCATCACCACATGAAACAAGGAAGTGGAGCGGTAAACACAGACTGGGAAGATATTTGTGGAGTTCATTTTTGTTTTGTTTTCTCTTTTTTTAACCTTATATGTTGGGCAGGGGGACGGAAAAAGCTATAGTTTGTGTGTTTGTACTGCCTGGTGTTTTTCAGAAAGCAAGTGGCTTTTTTTGTTTTTGTTTTTTTTCTCATTTGCCGTTGGTTTCACTGTGAGCGAGTGAAGAACACGTTTGTATGACTGCGCGTGCTTGGTATGATTTTGTCTCCCCATCCTGTCCAGCAGGTGCAGCACCCCCTCCCCCTTTCTGCTGCTGCTGCTTCCATCACCTGCCTCAGCCCCCAGGACTAAAGCCTGTAAAGATACGCATGCTTTTTGTTTCGATGTGAGTGCGGGAATAAGAGCGTGTCGATTAACTCAGACTGAGGCCAATCCCCAACTCCCTCTCCAAGAAGCCCATCCTGTGTTTGTGTACGCATGTTGGTGCAGAGCAGCTGATTGAAACAAATCACTCCATTAGCACCTCAAACTTTGCGCGACTCGTGGACCTTTTTAAGCTTCGATGTCGTCATCGTCAAACCTAGACAGGACATGGGTGAGGAGTTTTTTTTCTGTTTGCTTGTTTTTTTGCAGATCATAACTTATTTTTTTCCTCCCAAATGCACTGCCAGCTACTGGAAAATCCCCCCTCTCAAAACAAAAAGGAGAATACAGCATGTTTAAAAGAGACTCCTCACCGATGACTGTGTGGTACGACCTCTCCTCTCCTATTAATTTGCAATATTAGCCCGAATCTCCTCGTCGTGAGTGCCACTCAAACCTATCAGCGCCGACAGCCGCGGCCACAGCGATCTGCCCGCTGAGTGGGCAAACCTCTGCAGCCGCTTCCGGTCCACCAAAGCGCGAGATCCGAGACAAAGTGTTACGTATGCTGGATTCCTGTATGAGTGTGCTGTGTGCGTGCAATTTAAATTTAAAAAAGGCGAAAAATTGAGAAGTATTCTTACCAGATCATATTTTATTCTTCTGTTCACTTTAACTTTGTTTCCATTTGTCTACTTGACACCTGTATAACCTCATGCCGCTCTCAAGCGACCGAGTCCGCAATGCACTTCCCGGGCGCGTTAACCCGACGCACCGCCAACCTCGCTATAACATTCTAAGATCTCCTTTCCTGCGAACGGATGCACCCGGGCAGTCCGACGACACACTAAAGCGGCAAAGAAAGCTCGCTTGAACAAAGGTCAGATGCACTTCTTTGGAGATTTGCTGCAGTGTGTATGCGTGAGTATGAATGTGTGTCTCCTGCTGTTTTTGACAATGGTGTGGATCATGTTCTGTTAGACCTTTACGTCTCTACTTTCAGAGTCCCCCACCTCACCCTGTCCCTGCCCCGTACAGGAAAATCGAGCCTCTAAAAGGTGCTGCCATTTTGTTTTGGCCTTATAAGGACAACAAGAACTCCTTGTTAGATAAAGGAAGGAACAAAAAAAAAGTGGACCCTTATTTTTCAAGAGTAGGGTTAGTGCTTGGTGTTGTAGCGAAGGCAGAAAGACGGATTGCAGTGGTTGTTGATGGGCGAAAAAACCTCTTTTTTTCACAGGTTGCAAATGCAAGAAGAAATTATGCAATTGGGCATCTGTGTGCTTTTTCTCCACAATATTGAAAGTAGAAAGCACCACAGCGGGCTGCCATGTGGCACTATTTCAATTCTTTCTTTCTTTTTTTAAATCTGCTGCACCAGAACAGACACATGCTTTCAGCAAACATTCACAGGGAGTTTTAATGTATTAGGGTTTATTCCCCCTTTTCAACCACTGAGCTGAGCTGGTTACACCCCAGGAGCCGAGGACTGGAAGGGAGAGTAGATGTTTACAGAGTCGCCACCCACATAATGGTCTGTCTATGTAAGTTTGTGTCTGTATGCATTTGGAACAATGGACAAGTTTTGTTTTTTGTTTTTGCAGATTTGTATACGAGTGTTGTTCTTTTCGTTGAATATATTGAAAGCATGTTGGGGTTTTTTTTTTGGTCATCTGTTGGGTTTGGGGCGAATTGTGTTGATTTATCAGATTTGATTTTTATTTTTAATTTCTGTGCTACTTTAACCCCATCCAGAGATGATGTGAAAGTACAAAAACAATCTATAGATCCCCGAACGCCAACTATTACCTTTGCTGCTCATCAGACACTGTTTAGATTTTTATCAAACTGCTTGTGGTTTATTCTGGAGGTCCCACCCATCTTCCTCTTTCAAACAGAGGTGTTTTCAGTTTTGAAGGAACTGGGTCTCTTTGCCTCAGTCATGCCAAACTGTCGCGGTTCCATTAGGGTTTATATGGGCATTACAGCCTGCCACAGTGGCTGTGTTCAGATCACGCTCACAGACCGAAGGGCTTCGTCATCAATAATCAGTTTGGAGCTGTGCCTTGTGGCGTTGCATCCATTACCCAGTTTTCTCTCAGAGACTCAGTTTTGCCCTGAAATGACATCAGAAACAGTTGTTTTTTCGCCTCCCTTCATCCTGATCATCCACTGTGCCGTCATGACCTCGGGTGAATGAAATCCTAAATTTATAACCCTTAATTTCTCAGTTGACGTAAGTTCATTGATCAGATAATTATAATTAGCATTTGTTTTGGCAGTCGATGTGTGACACAAAACCACACAAGCGAGCAGCTGGTCCACAGGGGCTTTCTGCAGCCTTTCTACCATCTACGAAGTGTGAAAAGAGGAGAGCAAAAGATTTGTTTTTCTTTTCTTTGCATGTCTGTTTTTCTCTGTTCCTCTTCCTGTCCCCTCTTGATTTATTTTTGATCTGGAAATGTCCAATAGCTTTTATTTAATGTGGAAAAAGAACACAGAAATAAATTATTAGATTTTTTTTTTCTTTTCTTTTTTTTAATGCTGTAAAACTGGGTTGTCTCGTCTGCTGTCTGAAGCGGCTGTATCTGTGTGTCAAAAAAAGAAGTCACAATCAGACATCAAAAAGAGCTGTTTATTTGATCACATCCACATCAAGAGGGGGGAAAAGAGTCTACCATTTTACATCACACATACCCTAAAACAGTATTATATTGTATGAACAGGCATTTGTTCATTAAGCATGTCAGATGATTCATGAAGTTACAGAAAATGTTTTTTTTTTCCCAAACAAAAGACACTTTATTAACATTGGGATAACAAATGTGCATCAAATACCTAGAACTGCTTTGTGCCTCTTTTCTGTCTGGACTGCAGCAGAGAAGTTTCTTGAACTTATCTTTCAAAAACGAGATTTTAAACTTAACCTGACTTCTGCTCATTTTATCCAA